AGCTGGGACTAAAGGCGCCTGCCACAACGCCCAGCTACTTTTTGGTTGCAGCTGTCATTCTGCCAGCTTAGGTGTATGTGGCTGGCACCTTAGGTGCTTGAGCCACAGGTTACTGTTTTTTAAACCTTGGTTTCCTTATTCAGTAAAATTAGCGATTGAAGAGTAATGGCCAGCACACCAGGCATTTTTTTTTTTTTTTTTGAGACAAGAGTCTTAAGCTGTCGCCCTGGGTAGAGGGCCGTGGCTTCATAGCTCACAGCAACCTCCAACACTTGGCCTCAAGCAATCCTCTTGCTTCAGTTTTTTTTTCTTTTGTCTAAGCTTTTCTATTTTTAGTAGAGACAGGTCTGGGTTTTTGCTCAGGCTGGTCTCAAACTCAAGAGCTCAAGCAATCCACCTGCCTTGGCCTCCCAGAGTGCTAGGATTATAGGTGTGACCCACCTCATCTGGCCCATCCTCTAAAAATAATTGATTATCTCCCTTTTCCAGCTGAGCCCCAGGGGCTTAGAAAAATTAGGTATCTTGGGCAGTGCCTGTGGCTCAAGGAGTAGAGTGCCAGACCCATATGCTGGAGGTGGTGGGTTCAAACCCAGCCCTGGCCAAAAACTGCAAAAAAAAAAATTAAGATTAGGTATTTTGCACAAAGTCACACAGCAAGTAAGTGTTAGGGCCATGATTCAAATTCATCCAGATCTGTTGACCCCAAGCTGCACTTGGTTCTCTTTGAAGATGAGATTCCCCTTTCCCCCTCTCCTGGCTGTGCTCCACCAGAGGGTGGTGTGAGTTCTTTGAGCTACCTTAACTTCCAGACGGCCAATGGTTTTCCGGAGTTTATTCACATGGACCATCTTTTTCCTTTTCACCTCTTTCCTGCAGCACGGACAGGTCTTTTGTCTGGAAGGAGGCATAAATGGGGTGAGTGTTGTGAGTGGAAGTGGCAGGTCTTCCCTGGTCAGTCCTTTACTGAGTGACCCAATTTGGTCTCTTCTCCTGTAAGAGGCATGAAGATGTATACAGGGAGCTCTCAGGTCCAGGACTGGGGCCAAGGATACCATGGATTGTAGGGACCCACACATTTTAGTGTCCTAGATTGGGAGGCTGAGTGTTATGGCCATCATGACCCAGTGCTTAGCAGACTTCCCCCCTATCCTGGACCCCTACCCTCCCAGCCCCTTGGGTAAGTGGTACCTGGCTAGCCACCGGAGGATGCACTTTTTACAGAAGATGTGACTGCATGGCAACCTCACTGGCCTCTTGAGAACTCCATGGCAGACAGAGCACAAGAAGTTGCAGTCAGGAGGGCTGGCGAAGAGGTTGAGATCATACCCGCCACTCTGCAAAGGCCAAGCTAGCATTAGGGCCTGGTTTCGGCCAAGTCCAGTTCCCAACTCCACATACCCAGCAAGAGACCCCAGCAAACTTTGGGCAGGTAGGTGGGCCACATGTTAATCCCACATAGAGGATCCAGGTCAGCACCTGCTTTGAGGCAGCTGTGGGGGTCAAGACCCCCATGAGATTGCCAGTTCCAGGCTGGAAAAGCTGGCCTTATCCTGGAGTCAGACCCAGCTAGAGCTTCCTGAAAGGTTTCTTTGTACTGTATGGGGGCTCACTGGCCACTCCTTCTCTCAGAGCACTCCTTCTATCTTTGGACAGTTGGGCACACATCTTAGGGTTGGTGGCTAGAGGGCCCCAGGCTTACCATGATCTGTCTTGACAGCAGCTCTACTGATCCCCAGGGCTCAGGAGCCTGCATTTCACAGTGGTTGTGGGCCGACATCACAGTGGCATTGTCCAGCTCAGGCCAATCACAGCCTTGTTTCAGGGCCCACTGGGATCCTGCACCACCTAGCTCTTGCTCCCTTCTCTGAATGAGCACAAGAGAAGGAAAGGGCAGCCTTGACCTGCAACAAGTCTATAGAACACCCTGCCTTGGGGAAGGTTGACAGCTGATCCCCAGGCACCATCAGGCTAGGAACCTACTGTCACAAAGTCAAGGCTTCAACAAGATCACAGGGATTGCCCCCTCTCCTCTCACATAGTGCTGCCAGGTGGCCGGAACTGAAACTTTTTATGACACACCGGATGTCTTCAGCTAGGGCCCAAAATTCAAGGTGCTAAGCCATAAATTCTACACAGTTATCCTTGTGCTACTGGTTTGCTGGCCCCAGCTGCCTCCCCTTAGCTCAGGCTACTTTACCTGTCACTGGGGAGGTTAAGTCTAGCACACGGATAGAGAACAGTATTTTCAACCTGGGTCTGCCATTTTGGAGGTGTGGGGCGTTAGACGCCAGCTGCCAACCTCCAAAGTGTGTCCAAAGCTGCGTTGGGCTAGCCTGGGAAGAGGAGGAATCCCAGTAAGGTCCCCAGCCCGAAACAAATGTTTTCCAGGCTGACATGTGGGGCATAAGAACATCCACACGCGGATATAATTTGACACACAGCTTCTTTATTCGATACAAGGAACAACCAAATCCTTTTTCCTTTTGGTCCCGGCGGCGTCAGGCGGGAAACAACCAGGGTCCTGTTGATAGAAAATAGAGTTAGGGGTCGGAAGCCAGACCATGCGGACGGCGGCCCCAGAGTCCCGGGCCACTTCACCTGTCGGGGCCTGGGTTTCACCCCCGCACACGAGGCAGTGGGCGGTGAGCTGAGGCCCCTGCTGGCTCTAGGCGCCGCTTCTCACTCCCGGCTACAGCCAAAGCCGGGGGTGATTTTCAACCAACGCCCCGACCAACCAGCAGCATGCACATAGCAAGCGGCCATAGCGGCCAAACCTACCTCTACGTACAGACGGGTGTCAAGGCTGCTCGGGAGACTCACCGCGCTTTGATGCCGCGTTTATAACTACCCTTCCGGTCATGCAGATTTCCGGGCCAAGGCTGAGCAGTTCACGCAGACGCACACAGAACCAATCGCAGACTGTCTTGTGGGCGTTTGGTTCGCTCGTTTTGGGGGCGGGGCAGCCGAGATCTCGCGGCTCTTGGTATGGTATATAAGCTTCCTCTCGCGCTTGATCGCTCTTCTTTTCTGACAAAAACACGTGAGTCTGTACGATTATGGTGGCGGCGGGCGGCCTGGGTGGCGGCATCCGCAAACATCCAGCTAAATTCGGGCTCGTTCGCCCCCGCTCTTGAGCAGAGCCCCCATCTGGGTCCCGCAAACGGACCCAGATACCCTGTCTCACTTGTATTTTGTTTTATTCAGCAAATGGCGGATGACGCCGGTGCAGCGGGAGGGCCTGGAGGCCCTGGGGGCCCTGGAATGGGAGGCCGTGGTGGTTTCCGTGGAGGCTTCGGCAGCGGCATTCGAGGCCGGGGTCGCGGCCGTGGTCGTGGTCGGGGCCGAGGCCGTGGAGCTCGCGGAGGCAAGGCCGAGGACAAAGAGGTTCGACTCGCGCGGTAGAACCGTAGGGGCCGCCGGGGAGGCAGTTGGTTTTTGTTTTTGTGTTTTTGAGACAGAGTCTCATTTTCTTGCCCTCGGTAGAGTGCCGTGATGTTATAGCTCACAGTACTCTCCAGTTCTTGGGTTTAGGTGTTTATTTTGTTTCAGCTTGTCTCAGCTTTCTGAGTAGTTGGGACTTCAGGCGCCTACCACAATGCCCGGCTAGTTTTAGAGACGGGGTCCCGCTGTAGCTCAGGCTGGTCTCGAACCTGTGAGCTCAGGCAATCCATCCGTCTCGGCCTCCCAGAGTGCTTGGATTACAGCAGGGAGGCAGTTGTTAACTCGCACTTTCTATCCAAGTGGATGCCCGTCACCAAGCTGGGCCGCCTGGTCAAGGACATGAAGATCAAATCCCTGGAGGAGATCTATCTTTTCTCTCTGCCCATTAAGGTACGATTGTTGGGGTGTTGCGAAAGTGTGAGTGACACTGGTGAGCCTTGGGCTGGGGTCTAAGGGTTGAGATCTGCTATTGTCCCACTTCGAGGTCCCTTAGGTCTCCCATTTTACAGATGGAGGTTGTGTTATGGGAAGAGTATGAGGAGGGGAATTTACTTGGAGCGGATGGGCTGGTGGGTACCTGTGTGAGGGGAGTCAGGTAAGGGTCACATAGTCGTGGTTCTTGAATGGCAGGTATTGCTTATCTTGATTAAGTATCTCAATTTAACGTTTTCACTACAAGGCTTTTGTTTTTTTGTTGTAGGAATCTGAGATCATTGATTTTTTCTTGGGGGCATCTCTCAAGGATGAGGTTTTGAAGATTATGCCAGTGCAAAAACAAACCCGTGCTGGCCAGCGGACCAGGTTCAAGG